TGCTGGCCTGGGTTGGAGGAGCTCTGTCAGCCATGTGCTCAGAACACAAATGTGCTGTTAGCTCACAGCTTTGCAGACTGTAGGTCCCTGCCCTGGAGAGCATTAGCACCTTTCTATGATAATCTTGGTACCTCCAGCTGACTCCCTCCAGGGTGGCTGTGGGCAGTTGTTTTCGAGAATATTGGAGCTGAGGTGGTACATCAAACCCACAATGAACAAAACTGTCTTCCCTTGCTGGTGTCAGCTCTCTTGGCTTCTCTAAGGACTGTCTAAGGGTCGAATATTGGAGCTGAGGTGGTACATCAAACCCACAATGAACAAAACTGTCTTTCCTTGCTGGTGTCAGCTCTCTTGGCTTCTCTAAGGACTGTCTAAGGGTTCCTTGGTAGGTCTGGCTTTATCCCATCTACTGAGTCTATCCAGGCAGGGACAGAAATGGCCTCTTGGTATCTTACAAGGCCCCATGCCTACAGTGTGTCTTTTAACTGACCTTCAGTACTGTTCTTTGAGGTTAGTTTCCTTATCCTCATTTATAGATGAAGAAACTGAGTGAACTCTCACCCAGTTAGGACAGGGTAGATCCAGGACCTAAACTCAAGCCCTCTGCAGGTATAAAATTCATACCCGACAAAAAAAAATAATAAATAAATGGTTTTTTTTTTTTTTGGTCTGTTTGAGACAGAGTCTCCCTGAAGCTCCAGCTGGCCTGGAACTCACTATGTAGACCAGGCTGGCCTGAACCCACAGAGCTCCACCTGCCTCTGCTTCCCGAGTGCTGGGCACCATACCCAGCTTGGTCAATAGTTTGTTATATAACTCCTCATCCTAAGTAACAATAGTCATAAAATTATAAGACGTATATTTTAAATTTATTTATTTATTATAATTTTATGTGTATGTATGTAAGTGCACCCCTGTCTTGCAGTGCCCACAGAGAACAGAAGAGGGCGTCAGATACCCTAGAACTGAAGTTATAGATAGCTGTTAGCCACTATGTGGGTGCTGGGACTCGAACTTGGGTCTTCTGCAAGAACAGCCAGTGCCCTTAACTGCTGAGCCATCTCTTCATTTCCCTAATCTATACATTTTAAAAATCCACGTATTAAAAAAGTGAAAAGAGTCTGGCCCCTGCTCCTAAAATACTGCCACACTGGAGGCCAGTAATCACATTTTGGGAAGCTGTGTGGTTCTTCTTCCTTCAGGCTGAACCAAAAGGGGTTTCTGACCACACTGTCTCTTGGTGGGATATTATGAAGCTCTCTTAAGGGAGGGAATTTCCCCCGTGGCTTTTAGGGACAATGAAACCATCGATCATCTTCAGATCCCGCATCCCACCCACTGCCCAGTCTCCTCTCAGACTCTGGTCTCCACAGACAACAGAGGCTTATGGGGCCGATTGTTTCTAGGGCTCCTACTGCTGTGTCGTGAGTTCCGTGGAAAAGTCACGCGTTTTCATTTCTCTGCAGCATCTCATTGGCGGTGTGGCTCTCGGGCCACTCCCCAGTTGCAGTCACTCACAGTCCTGTCTTCTGCCCCTGGTAGACGCTGACTGGCTCTTCCTGTTGCCAACGCCTCTGTCCCAAGGCGATGGCTGCTGGCAGCCGTACCAGCTTCTCCTCCAGCCTTTCATTCGTAGCTGGGCCGTCCACCGTGTGAACGGCATCCTGGCACGGGAAGAGTGCATGCCTGGGAGCCCCCCATCTTGTGGATCAAGTCCATCAGGCTTGTAGGGACAGTGGCGGTGGGGCTGGCTCTTTCACAAGTGGCTCAGGATTCCTCTGCAGTGATTTTCGAGGTCAGTGCTGTGAAGGAGGCTGGGACGTTCTCAGGGCCTCTCTGTTTTGTTTCTACAGTGCTAGGCCTGGCTAGACTCCTGAACGCTCTCAATCATGCATCAGGCCCTGAAACATTCACCAGTGGAGGATCTCTCAGGGGGAGACTATTATTGCTTTCTTCTGTGCTGGAAATGATTACACAATGATGCTGCTTGTACAGAGAGTCTGAGAAAACCCTGGAAAGCAATAGTCGCCTCATGAGCCCGACACTGAACTAGGAACAAGCAGGTCTTATTTTTCCTCCCAGCTGATTGCGAGAAGGTTTCGTGCTGTCTGGGCGTCTGTGTGCTGACCTGTCATAAGACCTCCTTCTGGGGCTGTTGAACTACAACTGGATTGAGCAAAAGGTTCTTTCGGAGTTGGAGAGATGGCTGTGGGTAAAGTGCTTGCCATGCAAACATGAGGACTGGTGTTCAGATCCCCAGCAGCCATGTAAAAAGCCAGGGTGGTGGCAGCATATGCCTGTAATCCCAGAGCTGGGAAGTTCCATGGAGCTCTCTGGCCAGCCAGCACAGCCTATTTGGTGAGCTCCAGGTTCAGTGAGAGACTGTCTCAAAAAATAAGATGGAGGAGAGGAGACACGGCACCTCTGTCCTCCACAAGCACACACATTAGAATCTTTCTGCTGTGGCGGGCACTTTGACACATCTACATGCAACATAAGCAAATCTGAGTAATGAATCTGGGGCTGTACAGAAGTTGTTAGCTTCCCATTTATCTTATTTTGTCTGCATGTGTATTTGTATGTGGTGCGTGGGTGACACAGCATGAGTGAGGGGGTCAGAGGACAACTTTAGGGCGTCTGTTCTCTACTTCCACAGTGTGGGTCCCAGGGATCGAACTTGTGTCTTTAGGTGGGCAGGTACCTCTACCCACTGAACTATCTCAATGTCCCAAATTTGGGCCTTTTCCCAGCCCCAGGATACCATGGCTCCAGCAAAAAGGAAAAACAGGGAAGGTTCTGTGCAGTCATGTGGGTAGTTTGACCAGCTGAGCCAACAGCAGTGATGGCGGCCCCCTTGGTTTGGCTGCAGAAGCTTCTGCGTTAGCTATGGGTTCGGTCGCTAGACTTCCAATAGCAGAAATGGGAGCGAATGGAAGGGGCTTTTAAAAAACCAGAACTGACCTATCTCCACTCTGAAGAATCATTGAGGGAAATGGTCAGAGCCCAGAAAGCAATGACATCAGAGGTAACCCAAATGTTTTGCTCATTATCCAAAAAAAAAAACCCTCAAAACTCAAAAAAGAGTTGGAAAATGGGGGTGGTTAGGGCCATCACTGCCAGCCACAGAGTTCCAAAGAGATGATAAAATGAGTTATTTTTGTGTTCATCATGCTTTCCAGACTACCTGATCAGCTCCCAAATTTAAGTAATGATTTTAATAATACTTTTTTATTTCTAGTAATAGCTATGTGTAAAGGGTTTTTTGTTTTGTTTTGTTTTGTTATTTTGAGACAGGGTCTCCCTGTAGCCCTAGCTGGCCTGGAACTCATAGAGATCTGCCTGCCTCTGCCTCCAGAGTGCTGGGATTAAAGGCTTGAGCCACATAGACCAGCAGGCAAAGCATTTTAGTAGGGAAATTATTTATCTCAAATCCTGTGCTGTCAGTGTCATCATTCCCGTCTTTTTGGTGGTACTGAGATTTGAACCCAGGGTCTTGTGCTTACTAGGTAAGTGCTCTGCCCTGCCTCATCCCTTCTGCATTACTGATGAGAATACGAGGCTGGGCTGGTTCTCTCAGTGGCAGGAAGAGGGGCAGATTCTAGTCTGACTCCAAGAACCAAGCTTATTGTAGAATGCTATTTTAATCTTGGCTAAGTAATTCTTTCCGAGGGGTGAATCAACGTTGTTGAGGTTTAAAAACTTGACTTTTATTGACTTAGTTGCAGAGCCTTAATGGACTATTAGGCGAAATGTGGAAAAATATGTCAGCAAATAAGAAGTTTGAAATTATTACATTAGTTATCATTCAAATAGGTTTTGGAAATCACTTACCCAATCAGCCATTATGATTATTAGTCAGTTGTTTCTAGGCTACAACTGCATCTTATTACTTAAAATAGACATTTATGTGGTTGTTTGTGCAGTCCTAGACGTCGGCACCTGACAGTTCTGACAGGCGCAGGGACTCCAGTTCTTTTAGTAGGCCATTTGTTGGTTACTCCGAATCCCAAGTTGTAATGGAATTGTCCTTTGGTATACATCCACGAGGGACTGCTTCTCGGGCTCTCGTTGATACCAACGTCTTCACAGGCTCACAAACGTCAGTGTTTACTCAGAGCTGCACACATTCTTAAAATTCATATTTTGTTTTTTAATTCCATGTATCTATGTAGGCATGTGCACTTGAGTGCAGCTGGTCACAGAAGCCAGAGGCGTTGGATCCCCCAGAGCTGGAGTTACAGGTGGTCATGAGCCACCACACGTGGGGGCTGGGGACTCAACTCTGGTCCTTCAAAAGAGCAGCAAGCTCTCTTAACCGCCGAGCCATGGCTTCTGCCACCTCCCTGGTGAGTTCAATCATCTTTTTCTTTTTAAATGTGTGTATTGCCTGCATGTACGTAACTGCCCCCATGTCGTGCCATGCCTGCAGAGGTCAGAAGAGGGTGTTGGATCCCCTGGAACTCGAATTAGGATAGTTGTTAGCTGCCATGTGGGTGCTGGGAATTGAACCCGGGTCCTCTGCAAGAGCAAGCAGTGCTCTTAACCACTGAGCCATCTTTCCAGTCCCTGTTGCTTTGCTTTTTGTTTTATTTAATTTTTAAAAACAGGGTCTCCCTAGTCCTAGCCCTCCTGAAGTTGCTATGTGGACCAGGCTGCCCTTGACCTTGCAGAGACCCGCCTGCTTCTGCTATTGGGAGCTGGGATTAAAGGGGCATGCCACCATGTCCAGCATGCTTTCAATCCTTTTTAGATTGTATATGATAAAATGCACTGTGCTGTAAAACTTTTTAGGGAACCACAACAACAAAAAGCCTTTAAGTGTTTTGTGCAGACGGTGATTGTTGTTTTTGTGTCTATGTATTTGTGTCAGTGTTGGTTGAGTCCGAGGATACAGAGCCCAGGGATAGAACTGGTTACGTTCACTGCATGCTTCTTTGTGTTGGACAAACAGATATAGTCCCCATCAGGGTCACAGCCACAGGTGCTTCTAACCTGCTTACCCATTGCAATTACCTGGCGTAGCTGTGCACTAAACAATTCCAGAACACTAAGACCCCAGGTTTCTTCAGGCTTAAGAAACCTCAGGTTTCGTCAATGGACATTCAAGGTTTTACAGCATTTGAGCTTGGCATAAACAGGTGCAACATTATTCATAACCAAGCAAAATCCTCTCTCCTCACAGGCGTGTTGGCAGGCGAAGTGGTGATTCTAGGAACTGGGATGTACATTAGAATCACCTGGTGGGGGTCATTGGCGTTTTAAAACAGAGACTTGGCTCCACCCATTCCATATTTTTAATTAAATGGTCATGGGGTGCTCAGTGTTCTTTGAAAGTCCCTTGGGTCACTCTGGCTTGCAACCAGGTTTTGAACCACTCATTCACTCTCGTGGATCAGGGGAGGATGCCTCCAGCTCAGGGTTATGATGCTTATACTTCATCAGTCCCCAGCAGAGCAGGATGCTTTTCATCAGACATCTTGGCTCTGAAATTAATAATCAAATGGTGAAAAGTTCAATTTAAACAAGATTTTCCTGTGGCACAGAGTTGGGGAGACCTAACATCTCGCCAGTCTCAGTTATTGAATACCGTGGCTACCAAATATTGATAGAGCCACACAGGGTATCTGTCAGCGGTGGGCAGGTCTAGTTGAGTTATCTATTGGGCTTTGTTTCTGGGCATTTGAAGTCTCATTTCTTTCATAGAGACGAAGGGTTTAAAGCAACAGCAACAGGGCTGGGGCTCTGGCTCAGCCCACAAAATGCTTGCCTTGGAAACATGCGGACATAAGTTCGATCTCCAGAACACACATAAAAAGTACAAAAAAAAGCTAGGCACAGTGGTGCACATTCTAATCTCAAAGCTGGTGAAGAGGAGAACATGGATCCTTGGGGCTTGTTGGCCGGCCAGCCTAGCCAACTTCGTGAGGTCCAGCACAGTGAGAGGCCCTGTCTCAGTGAGTGAATGAGTAAAAATAAATAAACAGATAAAAAAATAAGATAGATAGACAGCTCTGAGGCCCGACACCAGAGGTTGCCCTCTGACCTCCATCCACACCTACATACAAATGCACCTGCACATACATGCGTCCACACATACATGCACCCACCCACATGAATCTGCACACGCAAATAAATAAATCATAAATAACAAATCAATGACTGTATAACCTTATATTGGAATGTTGAAAATACTCCAGCTGCTTCATACTATGGAACAACCATGCTTGAATTATCCAACACAAGCAGCTATCTCTATTTTGGATTTCTTCCTATGATTTTGGCTGGGGGTGTCAGTTCTGCTGTTCTTGTGGGTAGCCTGCCTGCTGCTCCTCCCTCTCGAGGCCTCAGTCCTGCTGAGACTACAGTGGCCCCATCACCATGGGAAAGAAATTTTCTAATGAGCCTCAGGTTCCTAAGTTAAACGTACAATGTTTACGGCAAAGATGCAGGACACAGGTTATGCATCATCATTGTAACACAAGTGTATAATTCATCTACATACTTTGTTATGTACAGTGATTGTCTTTTGCGTGGCAGTCAGTGTTTGTGGCTACTTTCTGCTCTCTGGGCAGTCTAGTTAGTGGACGTGGAAAAACGCTTTGGCAGGATTATACGGCTGGTAATAACCACGGGTTCTCGCAGAGCTGCCGTGCTAGTCTACAGACATGTGTGGCAACAGGGGTGAGTGTAACTTCAACGTCCTGCCAGCATTCCCGTGGCTTTAGCTGACTCCGAAGAATGAACGGACTTAAGCATAGTCTCATGAGAGACTTCATTCTGTCACGGTGGTTCGCCATGGGCACAGGCTAAGCAGATATGGCCTGTAGTCAACTTGGTCTCTTTTTCAGACCAAGGAGTCCACCGCTGTGGAGTTTGGGGGGTGAGCAATCTCATAACCGCCTCTAATGCTCGGGATGCATACCCTGCTACTTGGAACTTTCTGAATTTGAAACGTATATTTCGAAGTACTGAATCGAAGTATAAACTTCAAAAATCCATGACACCACAATGTGATTTTCTAAGCTGAGGGAGATCCATTCTTTCAGCCTGAATGTTTTCAAATGTTGTTGAGAAACTGACAGAAAGTGGGGCTCACTTTAATGTGGAAGGCTACCTTAAAGTGACCATGAGAAAATTAAGAGCAGATGGAGGCAGAGAAGCTATTTAACGACAGCTTTAGCACACCGAGTCAAATCAACTTTGATTTTTAAAAGGTTTTTGGGGGGTGGGAGAGAGGCAGGTCTCAGGTATCCCAGGGTGGCCCCAAACTCTCTATGTAGCCAAGGATGATCTTGAACTTCTGATCCTCCTGCCTCCACCTCCCAAGTGCTGGGATTACAGGTACGTGCCACCATGCCCATTTTATGTGGCATTGGAGTTTAAACCCAGGGCTTCATGCATGCCAGCAAACACTCCTCAATCCTTAAAAACTTTACCCATTGCAAACGAGTCAGCTCTGCCATGGTCAAATGCTCATGAGGAAAAAGCAGGGTGGCCCTGATTAGTCCAAAAATATCTCAGCAGGCGGCCTCAGGATTAGAATGGGTTTAATCTTCTCACAGAAATCTCTCCTCTATCAAGAAAGGTGTCAGCTATAAACAGGAACACCTGTTTTTCTAGAACCTAACCTAAGACCTCTAATTCCTCTTTCATAAGACACTGGACAGCTGTCAGATATGGGAACAACTTTAGATACTTGAGAACCATGACTTTGAACCAGTGGCCTGGAGATCCCCCCGTCCTGGTACCCTGCCCCTGGGCCACCTGTCATGGCAGACTATGTAGTCACTAAGGGAAATAGCATCGCCAGGTTCTGGTGAGAATAGACCAGCATGTGCTCGGCATTGGGATACTTTTCCAGCCTAAGTAGCACTTATCCCTGATTGCTTTTGTCTTGTCTCTGTCCTATTTAATGCTGCCATTATCCCTGTCTAGAATCAGAAGTCGTCTTTTATCTCTTATTTTCTAAGCCTGGCTGATCTATTTCTGTCGTGCTTTGTGACTCCTTTCCTCTCGTCCATCCCCATCCCTTGGATTCAGGCTTCCAGGGTCACACCAGCATGTTCTTTGAGTCTGTGAGGGGCTTTTTGGCTCATCTCTCATGCAAGGTGTTCACCTCAGAGATGGCGCATGCTGTGACGTGCTCAGGTTTTCCCACAGACCCCAGCTGTACTGTCCCTTTGGCATCTCACAGGACTCCAGCTGGCTGTGTCTCGCTAGTACTTTCCTCACAGCAGCTTTGTGGGATCCCTGCCTTACTGGCACAGTTGGCAGGCAGGCTCTCTCAAATGTGGATGCCCCTGCCGTCTCTTCTGCCTGCAGTCCCACCCTGCCCCTCCGAAATCCAACGTCAGTGTTGAGAGGTCGTTTCTGCCTGGAGAGAGATGGGACACCCTTGGCTCTGTCCCCTTAGCACAGTCTTCTTGTCATACCTACTCACAGGCCCACTCATCCGTGGTTTCCCCTGAGCTCCTTGGGGACCAGAACTGCACCTTCTTCACCCTGAACCCTTAGAACTGTATCAACATGGAAGGTACTCCATCCGCTTTGGAACGAGTCCAGGATTCGAGAGCACTGGATTGCCCACTGCTGTCCCTGGGGCATTTCTTGCTCAGCTCCATATCAGCTGTACTGCTGTGCGGCATGGGGCTTGATCATTGTGCTTGTTGGTAACTTAAAAATTGAGGGAATAGGGGCTGGAGAGATGGCTCAGCGGTTAAGATCACTGTCTGCTCTTGCAGAGGACCTGGGTTCGATTCCCAGCACCGACATGGCGGCTACGAACCGTGCTTAACTCCAGTCCCAGGGGACTCCGAAGCCCTCTTCTGACCTCTGTGGCATTGTATGACATGGGTGCACTCACTTACATGCAGGCAATACACTCACATAAAATAGAAATAAAAAATAAAATATTAAATAAAAATTGAGGGAATAAACCCGCACGGGAATATCTGTTTTTTTCCTGAAATGCCTGCTCAGGCCCCTTCAGTGACCCCTTTTCAGAGCCTACCTCACCTCACAACTTCTCCTCCAGAATGAAGCATTTCACTAGCACAATGCTGACCTGCCTACCAAGTTTTATAACTTGGCAAATTCTTCCCATTCAGCTCAACTGGGAATGACTAATGTCATTGTGTGGCTTAATGTTTTCCAGAAAGGAATTCGAGTCTCCTCTTGGGCCCTGGTTCTGTCATACCAGACATAGAATACTAAGAAAGTTTTAAAAATTACTTAAGCCTAAATATAAAGTGAGGAAAATAGTGTCTATTTTGTACAAGAGGAAAATATACTTAAAATACCATTGTGCCCAACACATGTAAGTCTTGGAATGTCATGTCATGTGATGCCCAGCTAATTTAATCATAGCTGGGGAGCAAACCTTAGCAACGCCTGACGCGCTGAGGTCTTTGTTTTCGTGAGAGATAATTGTGGTCATCAGCTTAACCTGGTCATGCCTGGCCAGGGTTCTGGGGAGTCGTTCTCGACTCAGATCCAGGGAGGCAAATCCAACACAAGCCCCAAGGTCTTGGTTTGCTCAAAGGCATCTGTAGCCACAAGAACTTATAAATTGTCCCGAAACACACAACATGTACTTCATTAGTCATTAACTAATAAGCCCCCTGTGCTCTGGGGCTATCATATAGGAACTATCACCAAACAGGAAGGTCACTGACGGGAACCCAAGGTATTGCCCACACGATGCCACAGGTGCTTGTCCTTCTGCCAGAAGTGAAAAGAAATCCAGCCCTCTCACAGCACCATGACCTAGGAAACAGCTGTTTCTGAACCACTGAAGCATGCTTTGTTAGTGTCTCGTGTCTCCCTGCAGAACACCTGAGTAAGTGTGGGGACAGGCCGCTGTGTAAGCTGGGGGAAAGCAGTGAGACTCTCTTCTAAGACTTCCACACATTCGCTTTTGGGGCCAGAAGCCCGACGCATTTGGACACAGCTGTCCTCTGAATGTCTGTTGCCAGTGAACATTTCCACGTCTAGGTTTTCATTTGGCTTATTTGTTCCAGAAAGTTATCTGTTTTCTGATTAAATGCTCCACAGATCCATAACCTATTTCAGTGGCTGAGTTTCCAAGGCTCAGATTTAAAGAAATAGCTACCGATTGAAAACACCCCAATCTCTTCACTATTGGACAAGAGGTCTGCCCTATACACAATGTCACTGCAGATGGAGTTTTGTTCTTGGTTCTAAAATTGGCCTTTGTAGGGCTCTTTCTATCCTTCAGGGGTTTCCCCAACTAAATCACTGCAGAGTTGGTCCTGTGCTCCTTTTTAAATCTAGATGCCTGCCCCCTGATCTTTATTAAGACACTGGCAGCTCACTAAGCTATTTATATCTGAAACACATGTGGCTAAAATTTGGAAATGTTTGCGATCCCAAGGAATAAAATGCTAATGGAAGATGGCTTGGATGGATCCAGGTTTACGACAACAGTGCTTTTTACAGTTATAATACAAAGTGGTGTGGTGAGCCTCAATCCTAAACTCTCGATTTGCATAATCTGCTGGGGATCTAGACAGCATATGCGTCTGTTGATATGAAAAATGCCAGGATCCAGGCTGGAGAGATGGCTCAGCAGTTAAGAACACTAGCTGGTCTTGCAGAAGACCCGGGTTCGAATCCCAGCACCCACATGATGGCTAAGAACTATTCATAACTCTAATTCCAGGGGATTCGACAGCGTCTTCTGTCCTCTGCGGGCACTGCATGACACAGGTGCAGTTACCTACACGCAGGCAATACACTCATACACATGAAATAAAAATGAAAAAGAAAGAAAAATGCCAGGAGCCAGTGGTCAGAGCTGCTGGTTAAGACAGAGCAGTGCAGGAGGGCTAGGCCTGTGTTGGATAATGGTTAGTGCTGTGCTCACTCACAAGCTCTCTGATGGTAGACTCACTAATTGCTGGGTGGCGTGGGGATCCCGGAGCCTCACAGCACAGGAGCACAGACCATTGAGGCTCAGATTGCTGGTGACATTGCTGCCTGGACATCTCTGTATGAAACAATGTTATCTCCATTTCTTGCCCTGGTAACACCGTCTCTCACCTCCCCTCTTTGGGCCTTTGCTCAGCTGCAAGCTTAAGGTACAGGACAGATGTCCTTCCTCCGCAGTCTCCCTTCTTCCTTCATGATTCTTACTGGACACGGGGCAGGAGTGGGGTGAAGCAGCACCACTCAGGATGCGGCTCTGTGGATTCTTTAAGTCGTGTGACGGGTTGCTATGCCAACCCCTATCTGAGGTCAAAGGAGGCTGATCACAGCCAGGGCCCTGAGTTAGGGTGTTCTTAGACCTCATCGTCATGATATGTAACCAGCCCTGGCCAGATCGCTGGTTCTTGGGTCATGCTGCCTCCTGGTCCTCCATCTTCCCAACCACGGCTAGGCCAACAGTAGAGCTCTGTGCGTCTCGCAGACCTTTGCGATCACAGAAAAGTCCATTCTTAGGCATTTACTCTTCCTGGAGATGCTCTGGAGGGATGGGCACAGGAACTATACCTGCATAGCACACTAGCTCCAGCCTTTGGTGTAAACTCTGCTGTGCTGGTCCCCGTGGGATATTGGTAAGATAAGGAGAACAGAAGGTACCGCATCTTAATATGTCACAACACATTAGAGAGATGAAGAAAACCTTCTAATTATCTTGTACCACTTAGAATGATGCTACGGAGTATAGTGTTTTCCTAAGACCTTCTGAGAGAGCTGGCCAGAATTCTGCTCTGTGTTTGTGGGGTACGGGAGCGTTGTGCATTAGAACTTCTGTGACAAGGGAATTGTATCCACCCATTCACTTCCTGGAAGCAACTGGGACTATGTTTTTAATTATTTAATTTTAACTCTGTGGCTACTGGCTGCCACAGTGGACCACGGGACTAGAACACTACTGTGTGACTAGTCAAGCGCAGTTATTGTATATTGAGTTGAACTGGTATGTGACCATTTTTTAGGATATTTGCCAAAAGGTGTATTTTTTTTTTTAACCACGCACTTTTCAAATGTGTAAAATGATTTGCTCTCGGTAAAATTCCAATTTTCTAGTCATGTGATATTACAACTAAAAATTATTCTGAGTCTGAGCCCCAAATGTTACTTCATTGTTTCAGGGATTCTAGAACTTGGGTGAAAAACCAAACCAAACAAACCCCCAGCAATGACACAGGCCTGTTATAGTTCTATAAATAGCCCTTGTCTGTTTCCTACATGGTTTCCTGGTAAGAACAAGAAACTGGAGAGTTTGTGAATCTTTCTCCCCGCTGAGAGGGGAGTGCAAGGATCTTGGTATTGGGACTCAGAGAAAGAGCTGACGTTCCAAGACCTCAGGAAAAAATTATTTGAAAATTTAATGTTCTTTTAAAAAAATTTCAATTGAAAATAAAACTTCTTTCAGCCCTGAATACCTTTTAGATTTAAGCACACCAACATTTAACATAAAACATGTATAAATTTTCCTCATCTATTAAATATGGGGGGATTTTTGGCTACTATTAAAAAAAATTATTGGTATTTTGTATTTTGAAACGGGGTCTCCCTCTAGCCCCAGCTGGCCTGGAACTCGCTTGGAAACCAGGTTGGCCTCCATCTCACAGAGATCCATCTGCCTCTGCCTCCCAAGTGCTGGAATTAAGGGTGTGCCACCATGCCCTGCGGGCTTATTTTTATTCTGTTTCAGGGGAGATGGAATCCTTACACTTACCTCACGGAAACTTCACTGTTAACCTTATGGCATTTGTGCTTCCAACTGATCAAGTAGCCACTGCCTGGAACAGCTAGAAACTTACTGAAAATATTCAGGGTTAAAAATTTTTTCTTTTGAAACTTTACTAGGGTGGGGTGGGGGGAGGGGAGGCACACGCACACCACAGTGCATGTGTGGAGGTCAGAGTGAGTCAGCTCTCTCCTTCTGCCTTTATGTGGGTTCCACCTTTGAACTCAGGTTGCCAGACTTGAGTGGCAAGTGTCTTGACCTGCTGAGCCACCGTACTGGACCAATATCCAGTATCTTAATGTCCTTTATTCCAGGCCAGATAGAAGTTATAATGAACTAAAAGTTATTAAGAGCCCATTTTCTCAGAAAGACAAATGCCACGCTTTCTCTGATCTGTGGGTTCTAGATATTATAGGCACATAGAACTATATATGAAGCCATGATATAAAGGCAGAAGGGAAGCTATCTGGGAACAAATGTAGGCCAATTGGAAGGAGAGGGCAAACAAAGGCGTGTAGAGAATGAGGGTTTTCTGTAAGCCTGTGTAAAAAAAGAGTTCAATATTATCTTTTTATTATTTATTATGTGTGCGAGTGAGTGTATTGCCTGCATGTATTTAAGAGCACCCGTGTCACGCAATGCACTCGGAAGTCAGGAGAGGGCGTTGGATCCCCTGGAACTGGAGTTATGGTTGTTAGCCACCATGTGGATGCTGGGAATCAAACCCAGGTCCTCTGCAACAGCAGCCAGGGCTCCGAACCACTGAGCCATCTCTCTAGCCCCAGGTTCATTATGTTTTACAAAGGAAAAATTTTTATGCTAAGGACAGACCTCTATTGTGTATGTTAAGCTGAATGTCTTAGGGCAGGGCAGGGGACGTTTGAATCACTCTCTTCTCTTCATCCGTGGATGCTGGGAATCAAACCCAGGTCCTCTGCAACAGCAGCCAGGGCTCCGAACCACTGAGCCATCTCTCTAGCCCCAGGTTCATTATGTTTTACAAAGGAAAAATTTTTATGCTAAGGACAGACCTCTATTGTTTATGTTAAGCTGAATGTCTTAGGGCAGGGCAGGGGACATTTGAATCACTCTCTTCTCTTCATCTGCAGTGGCTTGCTGATATATTTGCTTCCTGAGACACAGATCTGGCTCATCTGACCGCCAGGATTTATTGAGTGACATGGGAAACATCCAGTCTATACACACTTTCTGGAAGAGAGATAAAGTTTGTGACAGCACCCGCCGAGCCCGTTGGGAGTTCCCTGATCTACTCAGGAATTTCGCTGGGATTTCACGGTAGGATGTGAAACTCCTTGCAGGTAAGAGATCTATACCCATTTCTTCATTCTCCCCCAAATTTAGGCTTTCTGAGCCAACCATGTGGATGCGTGGCATGCTCACAGTAAGCCTAACAGCTCACGCTACATTCAGATGCCCAGGGAAACATAACTTCTCAACTGTTCCACACTGGTCAACCTTTCCCTTGACCTTTCTTCCAGCTGGGGTAATCAGGAATACATTAGGAAGCAATTGGGGCCAACAAATTACCCCAGTATTTATCAGCCTAAAACAACATCTGTCACCTCATGCTTATTGTAAATCAGAAATCTACCACTGAGTTCATTGGTTTCTCTGGCTCTCCTGGAGTTTTCAACCAGGCCACGTTCAGGTGTGTTTCAGTTGGATTTATGGTGACTGGGGTCAGAGTTGCATCTCCTGAGATGTGAGGCTGTTAGTCTAAAAAGTGCTTCTAAAAAGTACCAGCAAGCATTAGTTGTTTTGTATGGCTTCATGTATGAATTCTAGACTGAGGCAGGACCTCCCCTAAAGTCATCCATGTTACAAGGCGTGAGTCGCTGGACTGCAGATGTCACCTGTTTTCTGGCCATCGACCTGGGCTCTCCCTTACGTCTCTCACCTCACAGGCCTCTCTGTAGGGTACTTCTAACACAGGGGCTTGTTTCACCAAAGTGAGCAAGCAGGAGAGGAAGAGAGGTAAATAAACTGAAAATCTACCTTTTCTAAACCTAATATCTAAAGTTCCATCCTGGTATGTTTCTTGGATTCTATTGGTTAGTCACTAGGACCAGCACACTCTCAAGTGGATTACAAAAACCTCAGGAGTGGAAAATCTGTGAGCCATCTTTGGAGCTGCCAACCACTAAGAAAGCAAAATTGACTCCAGTTTGGCAAACGCAGCCCACAGTGTCTAGAGGAGCACTGTGATTTCATTTGTATATGGAATCTAATGCACAGGAATGTATAGATACAGAGATGAGAGTACTGGTCCTCAGGGGCTGGGGGAGGTGATGGTTCCAGGGCATCATTTGAACACTCCTGGACTTCCATCACAGAGTGACATCATGCCTGTAACTGACAACAGCACTGCTGGCTGACCTTTGCTGAGAGGGCAGAGCCGAGCTTAAGCCTTCATATCACACACACATAACAACAGAGGGAGACAAGGGATATGTTTATGGCCTTGAGGTTGGTGATTCCATGGGTACATATATCCTCAAACTCCTTGGGCAGCTTTTGATAGTTCCCTTCCTTCAATAATAATAAAAAGAGAATTTCAGACTTCCTTCTGTTTGAGGGGGATTTATTTCTCTTTATGTGACAGAGGTAGGTCCAGTGAGTGGGGGTCTCAGAATACTGTGAGAGGGAGTCCTCCAACCCCCTCCTGTGCTGCCCTGGATCCTCTGTTCTCTGCCCTGAGGCCTCTGGGCCTGCTCCTGTCTGGCGAGCCCACGTACAGCAATCTCTTCACTCAGTGGCCTTGGCTGTGTTCTCTACTGCCTGGTTATGTCCTATGACATTTCTAAGGGAGTTGTGAATAAACATCTGTTCACCCCAGACAGGGCACCCACAGTAGGCCAGAGAAACGATTCCACCCAAGTTTATCTTGATGAGCCAATGAGTTTATTGGGGGTTACTTACAGGACCAGTGGTAACTCAAAGGTAAGCTGCGTCATAGACAAACCCACATAGCAAGGGTGGTGTGACTTATAAAAGCTGTGTCCCTGGACCTCTCTGCCCAACTTTCAGGTAGAGTGACTTGTTTGATTTCTATTTTCTGTCTGCAAGAGGAAGAGAATGCAAGTATCTGCTGTGTAGGATTATTTTGATAATTTAGCACAAGTACACACTGCAATAGACTATGTTTTATGAAAATGGCTGCTGTACCAATATCTAGATCTCAATGCCACATGCATTTATTTTGAGGCCTCAGTGTGTAGCCCCTGGCTGACCTCAAACTCACTACATAGACCAGGCTGGCCTCAGATATACAGAGATCTGCCTGCCTCTGCCTCCCAAGTGCTGGGATTACACATGTGTGCCACCACACCCAGCTCCCCATGTTCTTCTTAAACTGTGAACTCTTGAGTGACTCTCCTTTCTTATCCTACTGGTGACATGAGGTATGTCCTCTGCATACATCTGGGCCAAGACTTGTGACTTCTGGGACTAATAGATGTGGTAGAAGTGATGCCGTATGACGTGTGAGGCTAGGTCATAAAAAGATAGTCGGGTATGGTGGCTCATGTTTGTAATCCCAGCACTCAGGAGGCTAAGGAAGGGTCTCAGAAGTTCCAGGGCCTGGTCTGCATAGTGGGTTCCACACCAGTCCGGGGTACATAGTGAGATCTGTCTATCTAGAGAGATGGATGGATGGACAGATGGATGATAGATCAATAGATAGATGGGTGGATGAATTAACAGATAGGTACATAAATATGTAGACAGATGATTGATAGGCAGATAGATAAGATAGATGACTGATAGATGATAGATAAGAGATGATTGATAGATGATAGATAGGTAGATAGATAGATAAATGGAACAATAGATGGATGGGTGGATGAATAAACAGGTAGATAGATATGTAGACAGACAAACAGATAGATGATAGATAGATGATAGATAGATAAATAGATAGATAGAGGATAGATGATAGATAGATAGATGATAGGTAGATGATTGATAGATAAACAGATGATAGATGATAGATAGATAGATGATAGATGATAGATTGATGATAGATGATATATATAGATAGATAGATAATAGATGATAGATAGATAGATAGATAGATAGATAGATAGATAGATAGATAGATAGATAATTGAGAGCTAGAGCTTCTGTCTCTTCTTTTGCTCAGTTACCAAGCTGTGAGGAATCTCAGCCTGATAACAACCATGGGTGAAGTCATGTGGAATGACCCTCAGGTCCCAAACTGACAGCTATTATTATTATTAATTATTATTATTTATTATTATTTTGAGACAGGGTCTCACTGTGTAGTCTGGGCTGGCCTCAAACTCACAGAGATCTGCCTTCCTTTGCCTCCTGAGTCCTAGGACTAAAGGCATGTGCCACCATGCCTGACTTGATGGCTATTCTTAAACACTAGGTGTGAATGAAACTTGCTTCATCCTTAGAGTCTTCCATGAGAACCCCCAGACTCTGAGGATGAGAGACAAGCTACCCCCTCCCCCACCCCACCCTGGACATTCCATCCAAACTCTCCCTCTCCCACAGAATCAGTTAGTGTGACCTGCACCATTTTACACTACTAAGTCTGGGCATGGTTTGGTTTGTATTCATTGTAACTGGAATGCACTTTGATACCAGATGACTGATATAAAAAATAAGACAGCTAGGGGATTTTTGCAACATATTTTTTGTTCATTAATTTACTATACATTGCCAGACCAAGTCCTTAAGAGTCAATACATATCTAACAAGTCAGTAACTAGATCATCAGAAACATGCCAGCAAACTATAGAAAAACAAAAGTATGTGATGCTGACAGACCTAGCAGGTGCCCCGGTTGCTTCTGACAGTGGAAATGTTTGTTTTACTAGTTTCTTACGAATGTTTCCACTGAGGGCACACTAACATAATCCTGGCTAATGTTTTCTTGTTTAGGAATGAGGAAACTCTTAACAGGTAGCCCAGGGGTGGTCAACCATAACTCCTTTGTTACGGGAGCCCATAGTAATAAAAACCATGGATTTTCATATCCTTAATATCAACCAAAGTTCCCTAAGGCATTTGCATAGGCTTAACACAGGAACATTTCAGTCAGAGTAGAACCCTCAGATGCATGCTTGTTTTGACTTGCAGCTGTTGGAACATATGATACAGTACATGCATACCAGAGAAAGGGGAAGGAACAGAGAAACTGGTGGCCTCTTTTGGCATCTGTGTATTATTAAAAAACAGGATTCTACTGCAGATTCCTAAGAGGATTTGGTCTGGGCAGACTCTGCCCAAGGACCTGGTAACCGGTGCATCCTTGAGAAGAAATAAACACCCTGGGAGGGTTGGGCATGCAGAGAAGGGCGTTGTATAACTGTCAGGGTCTCTGAAGGTCTAAGATTTTTCCCTCCTTGTAAGCTGACAGGTGATCCTATGACAGTGTCAAGGGGAGTAGCCTTGAGACTCCCTGGTCAGGGGCAAAGTGTAATTTATTATCACAGTAACAGCAGTACCCAGGAAACTGGTATTTTTACACCAATCCCCAAGACCCATTTCCCACCTGGTGTTAAAAAGAAAAGGGGCCAAATGTTGCCTAGTCCCCCAGAATGTTTGTTGCAGGAGAACCCTGAACCGGGGGGACCTCAAGCTTGTAGAATATGTAATAAGCATTCTTGACCTTTGCTTCAGAGAGACACACACAGGGAGAGATTTCTTTTCTTCCTTTTTTATTATACTGGCTCAGAAGCGTGCTTGCCCTTTGCTCAGAGAGAGGCACGATATCTATATTTCAAGGCTGTTTGTTATATAAATATCCTTGAAAAGACAGTTTGGAGCAGAGGGCAGTCAGTTTATCTGTTTATACAACTGCAGTACTATTGAGAGATGCATGGAAAATCGTCTACCAACAATAACTCCCAGTATCACAGGATTCAAAGGAATTGCAAAACAATGATTAGAATTTGGCCCGTGGTCATGGGTCAGTGGCATCCGTACTCTCTGGGAAAGGGATGGATGTGGACTCCTGCTTGGATTGGCACACTTCCCCATGACTGTGCTTCCCTGTGGCCCCCATCCCTGGCAAAGTAAAGATGGCGTTTAAAAGACTCAGCTTCTCCCCTGTTCAAGTCTAGCCCTCTTCCCCTCACTGGCAGCTGCTGTTGAGATGACCCTGGAGAGCAGCATTGGTGATGGCCCTCAAGTATTTACTGGAGTTGGAGGAAGAGGAGATTTTATTCGTGGTGTAGGTAGCTTGGTGTGGAAGAGCTGAGTTGCTGAGACTGCGCAAAAGAACGAAGGGGCTTCAGCTGCAGTGTTGAACTGGAGAAGGGATGCT